GCGGCGCCAGCGAGCCGCCCTTCTCGGAGGAGCATCTCCAGAGTAAGCGCGGCGGGATGGGGCGGGAGGTGGCGGGTTGGGGAGGGCGGTGTGTGTGGAAGGCGTGAGGGAGAAGGGGGGTGCCCGCTGCCGCCCAGCCGTTAACGGCCGCGCCGCGCGCCCTCCCCTCAGTACCCAGCCGCGGCGCTTGGCCATGCCCGCCCCCGCCTCCGCCTGCCCCGCCGAGGAGAGCCCCCCGGGCCGACCTCGGCCTGACGGGGAGGCCGAGCTGGCTTGGCCCGCGGGGTGTGAGGGAAGGAGGGTGGACGGGTACCCGCCGAGCCGAGCAGGGGAAACCGGGCTGTAGACCTGCCTCTGGGTCTCAGGCTCCCCCCTAGGTGGGAGCCGTGGTGTGGAGGTGCCCGCCGAGATGTTTAGGAGAAAGTTCTTTACTGTGAGGGTGGTGGAGCACTGGAACAGGTTGCCCAGGGAGGTGGTTGAGGCCCCTTCCCTGGAGATATTCAAGGAGAGGCTCGACGAGGCCCTGGGCAACCTGGTCTAGTTGGGGGTGTCCCTGCTGACTGCGGGGAGGTCGGACTAGATGACCTTTGGAGGTCCCTTCCGGCCTGGGCAATTCTATGATTGATTCTATGTGGGGTGATCCACCCGCAGCCAAGTCTAGAAGTGCCAGGGGATTTTTTGAAGCAGGTTGCATTAAAGAGGCTGGGGCAGCAGCCTTCCCCTCGCAGGCAGTGCTTGGTATCATCTTAGCTAGGCTATGGTCTCAACAGGAATCAGTAACAGTGATGACCATGAACTTCTCCTAAATTAATCATGGCACCGTTGCAGTGCTTCGTTCTGTTGCCGGAAGCACATTTCTTGGGAGAAAATCCACCTCAAACATCAGCCCTGGGTAAAAAGTTGATATCCATACCCAGCATCAAGGGAGACCTAAAATCATCAGCCCTGGGTAAAAAGTTGATATCCATACCCAGCATCAAGGGAGACCTAAAATCATCAGCCCTGGGTAAAAAGTTGATATCCATACCCAGTATCAAGGGAGACCTAAAACCATCAGCGCTGGGTAAATGTTGACACCTGTAGCCAGCGTTAAAGGAGAAGTAAAAAAGAATCTGGTGAAGGCATCAAGTTTCATCTCAGGCTAGATATATCAGGGGCTCACCCTTACATTGTTTGTGTGCCCCACAAACTTTCACCGAGCCTCTAAAAAGTTTGCATACTTAGGGAAGTTCTGCACAAACATGCTTATGTACCTACAATGGAAGCAAAGAACTAATTCCGAGTAAATACATTTTTACGTGTAGTCTGCCTGGAAAAGTTCCCAGAATATGTATTTAATGCATTTATTTATATTATGTATTATGCATTTATTTATAATCTGTCATGTATTTACATTCATCTAAGGACATTTGTCCTGGACCTCCACCTTTCTGAATAATGCTGTCATTATTCTGCATAATGCTTTGAGAACATGGAGGCATATTCTTCCCATATGCTGTCTGTGGATCCTGGAAAAGATTTAGTCATGAACTTAAGTTGAAGTGTTTGAATCATCCTGTGGAGTCAATGGTCCACCTATGTAGCTAAGGATAAGCGCAAGTTTTTGCAGGAACAGGGCTAAGAAGCCCCTCAGAGATGGTCTCTTTACATTAAATGTTTGGAATGCTTATGAAATAAACCAGACCTTGCTGTTTTCTTTGCTCTCTCTGCAGGCCTTGACCTACCAGGGAGATTTCTCTTTGCAATCTTGACTCTGATGACGCTGATTGCCAATCTTGTGTTTATAGAGGAAGCAGTCTACATCTACAGGAAAATCCCCTCCTCCAAAAGATCAATCATAATTTGGGTTAATGCTGCAGCTCCAGTAGGTTATCATGGAAAAGAGATAAAATTGAATGTTGAAAATGGGGTTTCCCTGAAAATCCACATGAACCTGCTTTATCTCTGCCCTTCGTACAACCCTCCTCCCTTTCTCTGTAGGTGAGCGCTACTACTTCATGCATTGGCATGTGGATTCCTCGCTCAACGATGTTTACAGATTTCACAGCAGCAGTGTGAGTATCCTGCTTGTTTCCAGACGTCGCCCCAAACCCTGAATTTCTTCTCTTTAAACATCTGCTGCTCCCGGTAAACACAGTCATTTTGTAAATTTAACAATTTAGTAATTTTTGGTTTGAGTTGAAATCTCTTGGCAGCTCTTTTCTGGGAGGTGGAAAATGCTGAAGCGGTTCCCAGCGCTGCAGTCCCCTAGTGTGGGAACCTCAGTATGAAAGATCTGTGACTCGCATGTAATTGATCCCTGGGATTGACGGTTGCTTTGAAGCTGTTCTCTTTCTTCCCTCTCTCCGCGTGTCGTGTGGAATGAGACTCTGACCTGTGACTTCTCTGCGCTTTTACTAATGATGAGCCGTAGAGGTCTGTTATTAATGGTGGCAAGTGAACCTCCGATGAGTGTATCAATGTAAAAATGTTCTGCAGTTGTCCTGATAAAAGTGCTTTCTGTACAAGCATGACAGCTCTGACACGCACAGCGGAGAAGGGAGAAATGTGGTCCTCGATTTCTGGTGGTGGTGGTGCAGCTCGGGTAGGCAGAGCGAGGTGGGGGGACGCTGTGGCCTTGGGCACTCCGCCCAAGGATTTTGGGATGATTTTGGAACCCACTGCAGGACAGTATCACAGGCTCTCATGAATAGCCTCACCCCTTGCCACATTGCATTTACTAAGAGAGTAGAGTTAAAAAGGAGGGAAAACACAGTAGTAGGGAACACTGTGAGCATGCAGAATTTGTGCAGGTAGTGCAGATTGCCAGAAACTTCCAAGGATCCAGTCCTATGGCACTTTAAGCCTGTCTGAACCCCCCCTCCTCCCTTACCCAAGCTGCAGGTTCCTGTACCCTCACTTGCATCCACCATCACCCACAGTCTCCAGCTGCCCACAGCAAGCTCCTTCAAGGAGGCAGTGCAGCTGAAGAGGACCTCTTTTATTTGGCGGGTTTGGATTTCAGTGAATTTAGCCAAGCTAAATCAGTTTGGTTCTGGGAGGAAAGGGTGGTTGCACAATTTGTAGTACCTAGGAAGGGTTGAGACAGTGCAGCTGGTGAAGGAGGGAGAGGTGGGGTTGCAGCAGTTGGTGCTTGGATCAGCTTTGGCTGCAGAGGAACCGCACCCTGACTGGGTCAGCCCATACAATGATAGCTATGTATATATGAACCTAGCAATGTTTGTTGTTGTTGGGTGGTTGGGTTTTGGTTTGGGGTTGGTTGGGTTTTGGTTTGGGGTTGGTTTTTTTGTTTTGGTTTTTTTTTGAGAGGAGAAATTGGACTTGTTCGGAAAAGTTTGGACCAGTCAGGACTAGATTAAGTGATGGAAAAATATGGCCGTAATGGCTTGAGCCAGAAAAGCCTGTGCTTTAACAGTGACCCTGCCACCAGCCACCAGTGCGGCTTTGGGAAATCCCACAGCTACTCTGTGCCTCAGTTTATTCCTCTTTCGGTCAGATTAGGGCAGTTCTGGTCCTCCAAGCTGATAGAAAGCTAAAGGTTTTTCACAACTAGTGGTAGAAATTTTCTTGACTGCGAAGCACAAGCTGTTAGAACCCTGGACAGAAGGCGGCACTGGCCTGCACCGACACGCAAGAGACTTGCAGGCAAATTCAAGTTGGCATTTTCTTCCTCTCCTAGATTTTTTGCCATAGTTATCCACAAGTTCCTGCTGATGATGATTAAAGAGTGTGGAGGTCAAAAGCTGCTGCTCAGGCGGTTCGAAAACGGTCGCTTCAAGATCAGCACCGGTCCCTGCTGCTGCTGCTGCCTTTGCCTCCCTCGTGTGCGCATCACTCGGTGAGTTGCCCTTTAAAATTTCCCAGCTGGAAGACGGCTGCTGGGATTCAGCCAACTTGGCAAGGCCGGGCTTTCAGCAAAGGGCCTCCCCGCTTCCCGAAAGTCAGTCTCAAGCCAGTCTCGAGCCGTCTCTTTTAAACAATGCCATCACTTCGGGGCTGTACACCATCACTAATTTATTTCATTTTTATAATGCAGAATTTTGCATAAGAGTCAAGAGCGTGACCTCTCTCAGTTTAACCCGGTGCAGTGTTCCCACTCATAGTAATGTTGAGCACTGTAGTATCTGCCCAACTAATCACATTCTCTTCCAGGAAATCATTTATGTAGTAAGCAGTGGTGTGTGGGAGGAGGAATTTCTACTCTGGAAACCCTAATAATTGAGATTTCAGTTTCTTTTCATTCCAGAAGGGAACAAAAGTCTCCAAATTGGGTATTTTTCACAAGCAGAATTGTCGAATTGAGGGTGTCTTGAAAGAAAATTTCTCTTACTTGGATGAAATTGAAATGTTTCATTCCGATTTTGACTTTAAAACTACTTAAGATTAAAATAATTTTTAGAACAAAAAATAGATGCAATTCCTGGAAAGCTTTGATCTCAATAAAATGACATTGTCTGGTGAGGCAAAAGCAAGTATTTTCTTCTATTAAGCTTAGTATTAATGCACCTTTGAGAAGTGGGGTGAATATGCACCTACAGGAGTCAATATAATGTAACAGAAACCCTGCCTCCTCTGAGCACTGCCTGGTGGGGCTTCTCCTCTGGCTAGAGTCACCTTGTCGTTTACACATCACTTCACAGCCTGGCAGCTTTGTGTATTTCCCAGGGCTTTCATTCTGGCACAGATTATGTTTCTTTCACTAAGAGCAAAAGCTGAAGGAGTGCATGTGCAAGACAGAGACTCTTCTATGAGGGCCTGGTCATTAGTGTCAGAGGGACCTTAGGGACTTTGTGGTCTGGTTAAATGAAAGCTGCAAACAGAACACAGGATAGCAGTTTGTGATGCTTTCGCAAAAAATCTTATTTTATTATAGTAATAATTTTTCCTTAAGAATGCGGTATTAACATTTAAACTCTTCTTTCCATTACTTTATTTTAATGGAATAACAGTAATTATTTACATGGAGGGAGGCACCAAGAAGAATAGGTAGTAAACCAACTGAAAAATATACCTCCAAAAATGGATGTAATAGAACAACATAAAATCAACAGCTGTGGATATGGATCTAAATGACTCCTACCAATTTCCATGGGCATTGGTTCGGGTGCATTTCAGCAGTCAGAGCTGAAGAAATGCCATGGGACAGAGCTGTGCTATGGATCTAACATGTCACCAGTATATTTATTTCTCTTTCCATGTCTGTCACCCTCTGTATAGGTTGTGGTAGCTGGGAGCTTGGGAGAGGATCCTCTACTCTGCCCTCCTGTTGATCAGTGCAGTGAGAGCTTACCCAGGATGATAATAGCTAATATAGTCTCCTTTCAGGACCTAGATAGTGCCTACTGCTACAGGTGGGAGGAAGGACAGCTGTCTGTTTTTTAAAAAAAGGCTTTTTGCTGTGCAAAAGGCTTAGGGCTCCTTCTCCACTGTCCATAGCACTGGGAAACCCATCTGCTGTCTCTGCTTCTGATTTCCAGCCTTTTCCCATTACAGGGTACAATGTTTTGAAATATAGGCAGACTATACCAGAGAAAGGTCAGTCTCGTATTCCTCCTGTAGGTATCTTCTGGGGAAACAGGGAGTTACTCCAAGGGAGGGGTTGATTCTTTTAGAAAGCCATATACTGTCGAGTAGTCCTGGGAAAATCAACAAGGTACAGTAGACAGATGAGACAAAGTGACAAGCCATACAGTGGGGAGAGACATCTGATGGTTGAGAAAGACAGACCTGCGTCAACAAGGAAGACAACTCCTGGCATTGCAGTGACTGCACTGCTTTGTCATATTGTTCTTTAAAGCCCTTTGGGAATAATCAGTCTTTGAAAAGGCACATGCACTAAATGGCTGGCCACTTGTAGGCCCTTCCACATGTATTTGTGCTGTCCATAACCCTGTGCTTATTAGCTATATTAATTGAGCAATTCCTGTAATTCCTCTAATGTACTAAATGGCAGCCTGTTGTCTGCTGAGGCATCTCTGATGACAGTCTCAAGGGCCCAAGGAGCCACAGTGAAGGCCACGTTAACAGTATGGGAGATAGACTAAGATGTGAGCCAACTGTAGCAGCCACAGCTTGACCTGTGAAGGCTGAAGGAGAGTTCAGGTCAGTCAGCTTTCCTGTCCTCTGGTAGGAAGTGCATCTTCCCCTTTCCTGGTGACCTTTAATGCTGGCTGGCCAGGTCACAGTCTATGGGCTGCGTTCTGGACCCAGTTTATACTGACAGAAGTAAGGAAATCCTCACCTGACCTGCTGGCCTTGTGCAGTTTGCCAAGTGAAAGATAGTTCCTTCCTACTGTTAAGAGTACGGAGGAGCAAACCCAGATGCTTACATGGTGGTATTCATGATGTATTGAAAAGCTACCAGTCCTTTCACCTACGTCTGTATGATTCCTTTTCTTGATCTACCACAGGAATAGGAAGTGTCTGTGGAGGCAGACTAAATTTCCCAATTTCATTGGAAAACTGAAATAGTAAGGCAACAAGGCAAGAGCAAGTGGCATTATTGCTCTGAAATGAGTTATGCTGCTACTAGCTCTCTGGTTAGCTTCAGAGCAGAGAAACATCACATTTTGCTCAGCTTTGGTTAGTATGTAATTGCTACAGAAAAGGAAAAGTACTATTTTTGTAGAGACTTTATTAAATAAACACTGGGTAATTCTTGGAACAATTTTCTAATCTTGAAGCTGTTTCTTGCCATATTTTAGCCACATGCTACAGGAGTGGGAAAGTTTTGCAGTTGACTATAAAAAAAACGTTATCAAGGTTGCTAATAAGATTTTGGCCTATGTGATTTTTATTTTTTTTTCTGGCCAGGCGAACTCTCTTTTGGATGAAGCTGGGCACCTTTCAGTTTGCTTTTTTTCGACCCATGTTCATGTTTTTATCAATAGTGCTTTGGACTAATGGCAATTACACCCCTTACAAAGTAAGTAAATATTTTAATCAGAGATGTTCCACAAAATCCATAGGTTTTAGGGCTGACATGTCTTAGTATCTTAGCCTACAACTGTGAAATCTAGGAGCACTGCCGAGTGAGTTACTGCATTCTTTTGAGACCCTGAAGCATACAACTTCTGCCTTCCCCCAGACTCTCCATTTCCTGGCTTCTCTTGGAAAGAAACTGGGCATCAGGGAGGGTTAGGCATCAGATTATACTCCAATATGTTTCTCAGCTTGCATGGTTAGAATGACAGGACTGCAAGTTGCCACGTGGGTTGTTCCTGACCTGTGTTTTGTAAGGTACAGCCTTAAGAAACAAGTGTATATACTGGCATGTAAACAGGAAGCATAATTCTATTTTTTTTTCTGCAAATCATGGTGATTTTTTTTTTACTAGAGAAGATAATACTGTACTTCTACTTTGTACCATCTAAGTTGCGAGATGATGGAGAAGTCTGTATTTGCTACTAATATTGCACCTCTTGGATAACTCAGACTAAAAGTAATAATTTTTTTGTTGTTGTTTCATGGTATAAAATCAATGGCCTCTCTGAGATGTCATGCTGAATATGCTCTAGTGAGGTGCTGGGCATTCCCAGGTGCTGCTGGGGTCAGGTTGCAGTACCTTCCCAGGCTGAGAAGATTTACATGTTCATGCCCGCTGGGTGAGGGCACTGGCCTGACACTCCAGTTGGTATTGTGCATTTACCCCATGCAAACCCCAGCAGCTGCTGCTGCCACCGGCTTTCAGGGAGATAGAAACAAGCATTTTAATGTCTACATCATCCAGTTCACAACTTCTTCCTGGAAACAGTAAAATGCACTGTAAAGTTTTATAGGTACACTTGTTTGATTTGCTTCTCAGTTATCTCCTAAAGAAGCTGGGTTGTGGATTAACTGCTTCGTTGGTGTCCTCACCATTCTTGCTCTGTGGCCAGTTGCAATCATGTTTCAACAAGTTAGGACTCTACTTACCTGTAAGAAGATCATCTCTAAGTTTGCTCTTTATCAGGTGAGAAGTTTAATATTTCTGATGAGAATTTTTCTTAATTCTTGATATAACACTGTCTTTCTGGTCCTTGGTCCTTTGTTGAAAAGTTATAGTATTCCTCCCCCCATTAAATGCACTGTGTATATTTTTACCCAATTAAAGCTGCATCCCTTTGAAGCGCTGTCTTTGGCAGCTGCTCAGGTTCAGTTTTAGCCAATTTACTTCTAGTCTTTCAGGAGTGCTGGAGATCTGAGAGCCAGCTAAAATCCATTCATCTTTAGGCAACTGAAACCAAAACAATGCCTTCTGTGGAGCTTGAAGGAAGCTTTGTAGATGCAGGATCCTGAAACACAATGTTAAAATGCTGGTGTCTACTTTTAAAAACTAGGAGAGAATGCAGAGCATTGTGTGGGTGGGTGTTGTTTGAACTGTTTGAGCATCAATATCACAGTATTCTGATTTGACAATATTTTTCTCGGCCATTCTGCACTTCAGAGTTAGATGATAATGAAAATACTGGCTGGGAATCATTAAATAGTAAGGAACAGAACCAGATTGAAAAAGCCCAGAGACAGGGCAACCCTCTTCCACACCATCCTGTGAAGAGTACGGCAGGATCCTTGGATATGCATTCTTCTTGAACAGAACACATAGAAAAGCTAGTGCACTAAGATCTCTGTTAAATAAGTTATTAAACTTTTATAAATGCAATATACAGGATAGTCACACCTGCAAAGCTGCATTAGGGTGAATCCAGGTTTAAGAAGGCAAACTCTCTTGATGGGAGGGTTTATACTCAGGCAGTTACACCAGCAGCTAGAAATTCACTTTGGTATCTCCAAGGCAGCAAAGGCCTAGCTCAGTGAATAGCAGGTAATATGATGCATAGCTGATTGTTGCTGAACCCAAGCTGCAAAGAGTCCTTCATCCCTTCTGGCAAAGAAGCTGGTTCCATATAACTTGGGGAGCACCACATCTCCCTGGTGTGACAAAAATAGGAGACAACAGAGAAAATGTTCTTTGAGTCCTTCCTGCACTAAGGGAGAGCATAATCTCATGGGTCAGATTAACAGGAAATTTATAAAACATTGTTATCTATTATTCAGAGCTCAATATTGTTTAAAATCCCAACTGGGAGGTCTGTGTGTAATGCACCTCCCAAATGAAGGGCTGAGAAGAAATACCGTTCAAACAGAGGTTTGATTTAATACTCACATTGAGGGCAATACTTTGCTGACCTAAAGATGAATTCTGCTGCAAGATGGGAGGAGAGGGAGGGCAAGAAAGGAGGAATGAGGCAAACGAGGGTCTATTATGAAAGCAGAATTGTTGCGTGAACTATAATTCTTTTCCTGGTTTAAAACAGGCATCTGTTTTCTCTTTCTGGTGCAGTTTATCCTCATTCTGAACCACTTGCAGACAGCTATTATCAACATCTTGGCCATGCAAAGAGTTATTCCCTGTGCTCCACCACTCTCCTCTTCAGCAAGAGGAGCATGTAAGTTCTTCTGGGAAGGATGTTGTTCATTTAATTACAAAGGTGACAGTTCAGCATTGCTAACTGCAGTATCTGATGTTTTCCCAAAACAGAAGTTTCCTGGGATCATGTAGCTTTTGGAGAATCTCAACTTTTACTTATAGAAAAAAAAAAAAAGTTTTATAGCTGTCATAGTTGCAGAGAAAAACTTGAGAAGAGTTGGAATCAGAAATGGGAGGACAAGAAATCAACATGCATAATTACCGCTAAATCTCTTGCATTTTGGATGCATAACTTCTTGCATGCTTATTGATGGGCAATACTGTAATTCTGCAACTGATTTCGTTGCTGAGAGTGAGATACTTTGTTATGGGGGACAGGATGTTAAAGTTTTTTACTTTTGCACAGATGAAAATTAATAAGCCAGGTATTTATTTTGTATCCCATAGTCATTTTCCCCTTTGGGGGGCTTTTCTTTGCCTCCCTTGTTTTTTTGGCAGATGTGACCCAGCAGCTCCTCATCATGGAAATGTTTCTGATAACCCTAATTTCAAGGGTGGTTTATCGGAGAAGATATGATGACCTAGAGCCTCCAGAATGTACGGGTGAAGAGGTTGGGGACAACAAGCAGACTCCTAAGATTATCATGAATGGTGCAGTTAGTGAAGATGGACTGCCAAGGATTTAGAAGCCCCGGTGCTCCTATTCTGCAGGAGCTGGAAGCTCAGCTTCAGGAGCTTGTATGTGCTTGCATCCCAAATAGCCACTCTCCACATCAGAATAACTTCGGACATAAATGCCTCTGAGCTGAAGTACTGAAAGGACTGCTAGTGGAAAGATAACCCCATTTATTCTCCAGTGATATACACATGGTGTGAGTGTTTTCATACCACCTAATTTAGTAAGAGTTCATACCATGTGCTTTTACCCTGTTACTGAGCACTTGATTGGTATCCAAACTGTCTCGCAATGTGATTTTATTTTATTTTTATTTTTTAGCTATTAGAATGGCTATGATTTAGAGTTAATCCAAAGTCATTCATGTTCATCTCTTTTGACTATTTTAAATCTTATTTCACTGTGGATTGCTGCCATATATCCAACACAGCACTTTCCCATCTTTCCTCCATAAAAAATTATCAGCTCTCACTCTGTACCACGAGCTCACCATAGCTAATTCTGATCAGTGAATACATTTGCGTATGTTTTTCTGAAATCCCCAAACCTGTCTGGGCTCTCCACCTACATAAATGATGATCTCTTTAGGGCAGGACTTTTTACATTCCTTGGCAATTCAACTCCTAACTTGGTAACTGCACAGTTCCTGTTTGTAAATACGCCACTGGCAGATGTTCTTCCTAGGGTTGGCAGATTCTCTGTCACTGGCCTGGAAAAAGAAAGTAGGAGTTGAAGTCTGAGAGATCTTCTGCCACTGCTCTATGATGTTATTTGGTGCTTTGGTTCTCTGCTTGGAAAATGGGAATAAGGATAACCTTGTGTTAAAGGTGTCTGTGGGGATTAGAGCTCTTGAAAGGAATCTCTTTCAGAAAATTCTTCCCTCCCCAGCTTCTTCACTTCAAATCTGACTTGCCCAGGTGTCCAGTAGGACTTCAAGTATTACAGGATCTTTTCAATTTGCACCCATTGCTCTGTGTTTACATAAACAAGTTTTTACATTTTGCAAATGATCGTGATGTTCTTGGGTGAACCTTACTGCTTTGGTTTAGCTCACTGTAATTTTAAAATAATACTCTATTTAGTAAGCATTTGGGTATTCTCTTTGTTGGGACAGGAGGTGCAGCGCCGTGTACTAGCACTTGTCTGGCCTCATCTCGTCTGGTCCCTAGAAGGAAGCACCCAATCCACACAGCAAGAATGCTTATTCCATACATAGGCAGGGAAAAAAATGTTTCATGTTGGAAAATATGTCAATGATATTTTTTACCTATATTGTATCAAATAGAACTATCATCAGAGCAAAGCTTGGCAAACAGGCTTTATTTTTAGTTTACAAGGAATTAAAAAAATACTTTCACTTTGGGAGTTGGTGGAAAATGAAATATTCTGAAAACAGCTAGTGAACTGTCTGAAAGTAGAAAAGGGGGTTAAATTAAACACAACATTTTCTTTCTGATTGACGTCAGAAATAATATTTTCTTTGACAATTGAAGGATTACATTATAGTAGAAAAAAATTGGATTATTTTTGTTCTGAGTGGTTGAAACTATTTCTATATTTAATTTTTTTCTAAGCAGTCAGTCTGGGAAATCAATACAGATTCTTGAACTCACGAACATGAGAGAATCTGCACTTTTCCTTTGAAAAACAATTTCGGTGAAAATGTTCACTCTGTATGAGAGTGTGTTAGTAGAATTGACTGGGACCAGCTAACATATTCTTAACATGGGAAATCTTCTTAGTATTTTTTCATATTATGGCTATTAACATATTCCTAATGTTGCTTTATTTCAGTTTAGTCTAGGCCATGGTTACATTTATAGACTTGTAGAGCAGAACTTAATTTCATAACAGCATTGGGGATGGTTGGCTGTGAGTTCAAGCAGCTTCAAAATTGGAAAATAAAATATTTTTAATTGGTAGGGTATCTTTGTGAATTGCTGTGGAAAAGGCTTTAATTACTAGAGCAAATGAGACAGATGAGCATTGCTAGAAAATAATTTCTCTAGCATGCCTTGGTGGGGGGATCTGTGGTGTGGAAGAGCAGGTCCATGTGCTGTAGCATGGACAGTGCAGTGGAAACCAGATGAAGTGTGTGGAGAAGTGGTGGTCTCTGCAGGTCCAGCGAAGGAGCTGCTGGGGCGCAGCGCTGTCTGCACCCATCACTATCGGTCTGGTTTCTGTCGTGTCTCTGACGTGCCTGTTAAATTGATCTTGTAACAATCAGTGTGGGTCTGATTTAGCCACAGCTATCACGGGCTGTTACGCTTTTGGGTAGGTATTTAATTTTTGTTGTGATCTTCATCTGACATATTTCAGTAATAAAATGTTCCATGGTGATTTCAAGTGGACTTGAGATTCGGCAGCAAAAACATTTCTTTTTACTATGTACAGTCATGGAGATCTCGTTCCAAAAATTACTTGCTTACACAGAACCCTTTTCAGAGCAAAATTGGACATACTTTATCTTAAATATGTGCCCAAGAACTTCCCGAGTTACAGCTTACATGAGTGCAGTAGAATTTATGGGTCTTCTTGTTACAAATTTCTTTTTTTCTTTTGTTTTGGAACTTTTTAAATCAAGAATTTCTTCCCAGCTCTGGCTCAGACCAATAGCTGTAGCCTGCCTAATCTAGGTGGGGTGCCCAGGACAAGCTTCTGGGAGCCAGCAGGCAGGGCCAGCAGGTGGCTCGCATTGCAGTGCGTTCATTCAGGTGCTCTTGAGATTAAAACATTGCAAATCACAACCCCCAGGTTGGACCTTAGGCAGACTGAGTGTGGAAAAACAAAACAGGAAGCCGGAAATTCCTGCAATCTCAGTCCTGATAGAGATTTCAGGCCAGTGAAAAAATTTGCTTTCAATTACGCGTTTGCGATTAAAGCATTTGAAAACAGTTAACAAAAGCTAGAAGACAAATTTCATGACTCATTTTATACAGCTGCTGTGAAGTAATGAGTGTTAAGGTGAGCACATGTTTTGTTTCCTTGGGATTATCACCTGAGGAAGGGTAATGGTAGTTTTATCGGTGTCTTTTGTGGTGATAAAAGGCACCGACACCATTAAACAGAACGATAAGCATTCACAGAGACATGTGGTTGAAGGTTAAGAGGGTTGAGGCATTTGGAAGCCATTCATGAGAAGACAGGGGAAAAGATGAGTTACGTGTTTTGGGTGGCCATGCGCTGAAGGGCAGATGTCAAGACGAACAGCGACCATGAAGGGGGTCACACAGGGGGACACAGCGTGAACACCACACGCACGAGGAGTGAACCCCGTAGGGCACCTCGTAACGTTGCAGGAGTGGGTTGGCAAACAAAAGTGCTCTTCTTTTCCATCTGTCATTCAAGCTATTATTTTTAAAACAACACTAACAGAGTCCCTCTTGTTGCAGAAGACCGTGGTGGGGGCTCCTGCTCCCCCTGGAGTGTCACACAGGGGGACGCAGCGTGAACACCACACGCACGAGGAGTGAACCCCGTAGGGCACCTCGTAACGTTGCAGGAGTGGGTTGGCAAACAAAAGTGCTCTTCTTTTCCATCTGTCATTCAAGCTATTATTTTTAAAACAACACTAACAGAGTCCCTCTTGTTGCAGAAGACCGTGGTGGGGGCTCCTGCTGGCTGCAACGTGGGGCAGCGCTGGAACCTTGCAGAGGTCCCCCCAGCAGAGCTCCTCACAGCAGCAAGCTGTCATTCCCCAGGCAGGGCTAGCTATGGGGGCAGTGAAAAGCATATTTAAGGGCATGCCTTTGCATTTCAGGTGTGCCAGCAGCAAAGGCCCCATGACTTAATACCCAAAGGATTTGGTTTGGGGTGTTAAGAGGGTGCTCTGCTGATTGTAGACCTTTCCATCCCTACCTCCCCCCTCCATTTGTCCTGTCCGTTCCTGCACCCTCACACTTGCACCTGCCTTGTTCTCTGATCACAATTAAAAAAACCTGGAGCGCTCCCCAGGGAGGAGGTGCAAGGGTGTGAGTTCCTGCCTGCCAGACCCAGGGCAGCCAGATGACAGAGCATCCTTTCTGTGCTGAGCTGTGACCCCATGGCCCCCGGAGCCAGAGCAGGGGAAGAAGTTAGGGAACACAATAAGGATACAAACGATGGTAAATTGAACAAGTTTGGGAATGGGTAGATTTAGTGTAAGGAGTAGAGAAGCCCAATGGAAGACTCCTGGATAACTCAGAGAGGAAGGGAGCAGACATTGGCTACACAGCTAATGAAAATTATTCAGCCTGGAGAAGAGGAGGCTGAGGGGAGACCTTATTGCTCTCTACAACGATCTAAAAGGAGGCTGTAGAGAGGTGGGGGTCAGTCTCTTCTCCCAAGTCACAGGTGACAGGACGAGAGGAAATGGCCTCAAGTTACGCCAGGGGAGGTTCAGACTGGATATTAGGAAAAATTTCTTCACGGAAAGGGCTATCAGACATTGGAATGGGCTGCCCAGGGAGGCGGTTGAGGCACCATCCCTGGAGGTGTTCAAAAGACGGGTTGATGTAGTGCTGGGAGGTATGGTTTAGTGATGGTGTTGCTTTTTGTTTGTTGTGCGGGTGTCTATTTTTGTCAAAATTAGGTTGATGGTTGGACAAGATGATCTTTAAGGTCCCTTCCAACCTAGAAGATTCTGTGATTCTGTAAAATGCTAGCACAGGTGTCTGTTGCAGGAACACCTATTCAGTACAGTGCCACTTGGCTTCCGTGCCCTTTTAATCACGGTCTGACAGTTTGAACGCCGGTGGCATTCTTGCTGGCAGCCATTCATGCAGAGTGTTCCTTCAGGACAGCCCATGAACCCACCTGCACCTCCCTCACTCCCAGGGAAAACAGATCACTATTTTTAAGACACAAGTTGTGGGTGAAGAGGGCTAGATAACATACTCTTACTGCTTTAGATCCCTTTACAAGTGTTAAGTAGATTATTCTAACAGTTGTCTGAACTCAGCGAGCATGATCACCTCTGTTTTAGCAAAGGGGAACAGAGGCAGAGAAATCTACTGAACTTGCCCAAAGCCACACAGGGGAATTTTCTCTCAGCTAGGACCAGGCTGCAGGAGTTACCCAGTCTCACCTCCCTGCCCTGAGGAATACTGCCTCTTAAATGTGGTGAGATTACAATTAAGCTAAGAGTGTGTGAGTTAAGCAATGGCTGGGTGAGTCAGATCATGGTTAGATAAGGTGTCCACCAGAACAATAAAGCAAGTTGCTCCCAGCTTTCATAACCTCATTCCAGTAAGACCCACGGGTCAGAGCATTTCTTTGTTGGTGTGAAGAACAGACCTTCGTATGGCTGGCTTGCCAGAGAAAGTAGGCAGAGTATCTTAGGCTGTTTTTCTCTGCTAAGTCACACCTTGGTATAACTCCCCACAGATCATTTATTAGTAGATTCCCACAAACCCTTCGTTCTTCTCAAAATCCCAGTTCCTATTAAAACGCCCTGCATAAAGACAACCCAAGCAGCACATTTAAAGAGCTCGGAACTCTATTTTGGCAGAATATTCTTTGGTTTTTTCTTTTGGCCATTCCTCAATTCGTTACCCTTTCTTTACAATGAAAAAAAAAGCTTGTTACACCTATACCAGTGCCACTTACTGCCAAATAATCAAGCAGTCGGCGTGCCAGCGTGGCACTCGAAGGCACAGGTGGCTTCATGACATACCTAAAGCAGCTTGAAGTCTCAGATTATTCTGTACTGTTTTTCAAACAAGGAAAAGAAAACCCTACTACAGAGAGTGCATTGAAAAACAGGAATGTTTTATTGACTAATTTTTACATTTTTGTGGGAGAAATCAGACTTAAATTTTGGCAATATTTTGGCATGGTTTTGGTCAGTTCTGGGAGAGAGAAGAATTGTCCAGAGGCGATTTCCATTTCATTCATGGATGTCCCTTCCCTGCACAACTACAAATAGGCCACCTTCTTTGAGACCTGACTGCCCAGCATCCATTATGCAGACAGGGTCCCAGCATAGGGAGAAAACAAATGGCAGGATAAAATTACTTTTGTTTTCCTTTAATGCATTTCAGCAGCTGAAAAGTGTCGGTGTCCCCTCTAGAGGTTCAGGCGTGGGATCGCAGAAGCCTTCTGGGATCTAAGGCAGAGTTTTGATAGAGGCTGAAATGGGTTTGGACATCTTCAAGAGATGCTGAAGCGCAGGAAAGCGCTGCGAGACGTTCTGCGGAGCAGAGCCGCGAGGAGAAAGGCAAGATTGCTGGCGAGGGGGAAGAGTGTTGACACTGGGATAATTAGCAGCTCAAGGGTCCCTGAAGAGAAAAACCAACATGGAAAACATACGAAATCCTACAGAAACAAAACCGAGTAGCCTGAGGATGGCAGCTTAACAATGTCAAAACCAGCCCCTTCCAAGCGGCAGCAGAAGCCAGCCCTTCCTCTCCTGACTCCTCAGGTGCTTTATCAGGGGTGGTGAGCACATTAGCTTGTTAGCTCTACCTACATATTGTGTATGTTGACCAATAAATCATAAGTTTTCCTCTTTTAAGCTGCAAAATCCTTTTTGGGGAGGTTTGGTATGTAGCAAAAAGCACCCAAATGAGCTTACCCAGGGCAGGGAAGGTCATAAAACAAGGGAGAACTATTCCATACGGGAAGCACATCCTCCTGTATCACCCTTTGAGAGTCACTGCCATACAAACCAAAGAAGGAGTGAGAAATAGCATGAAAACAACTTCTAAATTTACATTCATCCTTTATTGCAAACTACTGGAAAAGGTGAGTCTCTGTGTCTCCTTGTAGCCTTGCCGTACCCAGCCAGCAAAGGGTGTGAGCTAATTGTTAAATTCAGTTCAACAAGTTCCTCATTAGGGGGAAATTACCTGAGTTTGAAATCTGCTAATTTTCCAATCAGGGTGAGTGTTTGCACTTGTGATTTGGAAATAATTAACACATGGTATAACATCAAAACCTATGTAAAGGCTAATGGTAG